GATACTGGTACTACTCGGTACAGCAGAAGGCTTGGTAGAACTTTATGGTAGTTTTGGATGGTCCCAGATGCTGCAGTGTATGTAGGTTTGTGTTACAGCAGCAGCTGAACTCTGATGTTAAGCCTTGGCACTCCTAGGAAATGTGAGCAAACCACAAAAAATTTGACACCAGCTTTTTGGAGTTTGGTCCACCCTTGCCAGGCAGTGCATCAGTGCCTTGTCTTCTCCACTGAATCACTTCGGAATTCAACTTGTTTCTTAATTCAGGCTCAAAACCAATACAGGCATGTTCATCAGCACTAGTGTGGGGTAGGAAGAGCTGCAGGCAGCCAGGAATGCAGCCTGCTTGAACTGGAGGGAGGGTCTTGCAAGCTGGGGAAGTGGGAGATGGGGGTGGGGACCATGCTCACTTCCTGTAACAGTTATCAGGTGTGTTCTGAAGCTGCCTGGCAAGATAAGAAGTTTTTCCAGGAAGTCATTGTAATGGAGAACTCCCAGTGGTCTGCCTCCTGACCTGTGCTCCCCTGGCTGGGAAGGGGGAGGGGGCTTGCATAGTGCAGGAGATCCAGCAGGATTCCTTGGAGGGTGAGCCCGCAGGCTCAGCTTTCTAGGTGGCAATGCTGGGGGGTGGGCAGGCAAAACCCCTTTGTGTCCTGCCTGCTCTTAACAGGGTTCCTGCGTCCTGTAGACTGTTGAAGAGGCACTTCTGCAGGCTGCCTGCTCCTATGGAATCCAAATGCTTTGTTTCTTTTGTAGTCCTGCCCAGAGCCTGGTCTTTTTGCCCCAGCTGTGGTCTCACTGTGGCCAGGAGAAATCTATCACTTATGTCGCGTTTAAGTGACCAGGAAACTCAGTGTTCCCATTAGCTGTGTCACAGTTGTGGCCCTGGTCTGGTTTCCTCCCAAACTCACCAACACTTTGGCGTGCAGAGACCATCCACAAGGGAGAAGAAATGCTATAAAGCAGAGTTTTGCTGAACAGATGAAATAGCTGAACAGATGAGAGATGCCAATCCAGATTTGGCTTGAGGCTGTGTTTTCCCTGACAAGGCTTAGAAATGCCTGGCTCTGGTGAGGGAGTGGGGGCTCTTGCTGAGTGCGGGGAGCATTGTTTTGCAGCTGGAACATTCCATTTTGTTGACAAAGGCATGCCCTGCACCCTGCTGCCTGGGAGTTGCAGCTCTCCTAGTCTTGAACTCCAGGCTTACCCTGCTACTTGCCTTTTGGTGATTAAAACCACAGATGTGGTGCCTGCTGGCTTTCCTTTGATAGATAAGGGATGGTCTAGGGTTTCCTGTGACGTGGATGTGAGATTAGATTGTTATGTGGTAAGCACACAGGGGCGGAATTAAAGGGGCTCTTGCCTGTATCCGGGCAGATGGGTCCCATCAGCAGCAGGTCTTCTCTGACAGCAGGGAGCTGTGTGTGGCAGTTCAGCCGGTGTTATGGGAACCTGAGGAGGCAGGTACTGCCTTATGTCCTGTGAGAAGTGAAGCTTAGTGGGTCATAGACAGGTGACACTGGGGCAAGAAGTCACTGCATGAGGTCATTCCTAGCTAAGCAGTGAGGGCACCCTAAATTGGTTCATCACAAACCAAAGCAGGACTTAAACCACCTTTTCTTTCTTTTAAATTCCCCAAACAACCATCAGCCATGGGAGTGCTTTCCTCTGGTCCAGGCACTACTGTTCCAGCACAGGCAGTCTCTCTGTGCTAGGGAATGTTCAGTTTTTTCTCAGGTGCTTTGGCTATTCCATCAAGACCACGGAGGCAGGAAACTATAAGTGAGACTGTCTGTTCCCTAGAAATGCCTGAAGTCATAGTTCCTCATTAGCATTCCAGGACCAGCATCAGATGGGAGTATCAGCAAATTGGAATTGGTTTAAAATGACTGCTGCACTGCTCAGTGCTCAGTTACAGTCCTCTGAAATGCTGTCCCCATTTTGGCACAACCAGGGAGCTGTGGCTGGAGCCCAAAGTGATTCCTGAGTCGAACTGAGAAATGTCTGTGCTTGCCCTGCCATGCAGATGTTTCCCATCTGCTTTCTCTGCACTCTTCTTACAGCATCTCAATGGCCAAGCTGAAATAATTGCAGTAGATCTTAACTATGTGAGGAGTGATGGACAGCGTGTGCCTGGGCTGAATCTGTTTTAAACCTTGTGCTGTTGTGCTTGGCCACACAACTTCAGCTCATGCAGCAGAACCCAAAACCAGTCCAGTTGCTGGCCTAGGAACACAAGCTAATAAAATAGTATGTTTTCCTGGCTGTCACCATCTCTGGAGAAAGGTCATGGTTTCTGTCATCTGTGGTCCAGATGCACAACTAGAGATCTTGGCAGAAAGTCCTCTTGGGTCTCCAACTTATCTCTCCTACCTCATTAGGGACACCAGCACAGTTTTTTGGTCTTTGTGGTTTGTCATTATGTAGTGTCAGATTTTTCCTAGATCAAATGTCTGTCCCATGTGATGTTTTTCCCAAATCCTTGTATTTCACATTGCTTCCCATGCCTTCCCTTGGCTGTGAGGTGAAGCTGGCCTGAGGTCTGTAGAAAGCACAGTGTGGACTCTGTCATGCTGCCCCATGTGGTGTTTGGGACCAGGTGGGGATGGGCTGACCCTGCCTGCTTGGGAAGTTTGATCTGTATGTGTCTCCTAACATGTTGCTAGGGCAGCCTTCCATGATACAGCACAGCTGAGAAGCTGGTTAGTCTCCAGCACTGAACTGATTCTCCAGGTGATGCCAGCCCTGGCAGCTGTGGAGCAGCCCATGGGGCCTGTTTATCTCATAAGGAGCGGGACGGAGGCTTGTGCGTGTGTGCCTACCTTCAGGAGCTGCTGTGACATCCCTTCTCCAGCCTGCTCAGAGTCATTCTCAGCCTTGTCTTGGGGATCAACGGCTCTGCTTCTCTGAGTGGAGCTCTTTGGAGGGTTGGATCCACTGAAATTGCTGAGCAAATAGAGCCTTGAAACGCCTCAGTTATAGAGGCAGCTGTTTGCCATCACTTTCCTCGTGCCTTGGAGGTGGGTGCCACTTTTCCAGGGAAGGCCCCAGGGCTGCTCACTTGTTGGAGAGCAGTTTGAGAGGCACCTGGAGAAGGAAGAGTGAAACCAGTTAGAGGCTGGTCAATTGTACAAGAAGGGAAAAGGATTGTTCCCTGCAGGGTGGGACCTGTGTTTGGAGGTGCAGCAAAGTAACAGAGGTTGGCAAGGTGAGGGGGAGGTTCACAGCTGGAATCATTGTGGTCATCTGTGAGAAGGAGGCAGGTCCCCCATCCCTTGCTTGCGGGGCAGATGGCGTGTGTTTTTGCTCTTTGGCTCTGTGCGGCTCTGCCTACTCTGCGAGGAACTGTGAAAGTGATGACTTTGAGTGCTGCTGGGGGCATCAGAGGGGCAGGAGGGATGAGACTTGCTCAGCCCTTGGGGAGCCCAAGGGACTGTAACTGGTGTAAAAAAAAAAAAAAAAAGAAATTTGGCACTGATTGACACACTGTGCTTGGTTTCTGCAGCCCATCTCCAGAGGAGGGAATGGGTGATGAATTCGACCTGATGGATCACTCAGATCTCTACATCCTCGACTTCAGTACGTGAGCACTCCCTGCCCAGCCTGTATCTCTTGCAAGAAGGTGCCCTGTGAGCAGGCCCTGCTGTGAAGCACCATACTGTGCCCTACATGGCTCCAGGTGCCTGTATCCCAGAGCCAAACAGCTGTCTCTGACAAGTGTACATGGCTTAAGGCAGACCGGCCAGAGATGCAGCTGTGTGTCATGCACTCCTGCACACAGACTTCTTGTGGCAGCATAGAAAACTGCTCCAGATGGTCCCTGGTATGCATTCTGCCTTGTCCCTGAGAGGGATGGCCAGGGTGCTCTGCCCTGTTTCCTGTGGCACTGATTGCATGATGCTGGACCCCCCCATGGTGTCCAGACGAGGACTGCTGTGGCTAACTGCCCTCTTTCCACAGGCCCAAGTCTAAAGACGCTGTGTAAGCTAGCAGTGATTCAGTACAGCCTGGACCAGTCCTGCCTTCCCCATGACATCAGGTATGGTGTGCCGTGCTGGGAGGTCACCCTGTGGGTGATGCCTGTCCTTAGGGTGCTCCAGCCCTGGCTGAGGTCTGCCTGGGCCTTCCTTGGCACTGTGCAGCTTTGGGGCAGGCTGGGCTGGAGACTGCAGCTGAGGCTGATGTGAAGCAAAGCCGCTCCAGCCCTGGGCGCTGTGTTTGTGCTTTCTCTTAGTGTGTCCCTTTGGTGTGTTACAGATGGGAGCTCTCGGCCATGACAACAAACAGCACCATCAGTCGTCCCATCGTCTCCAACCAGGGCTGACGCCGACTTGCCCCTCTACCACCCTGCCCTCGCCCCTCCACACATTGACCTCTTGCTCCACTGCCTGCATGAATTTTTAGCCTTTTCAAGCAAGGAAGGTGTGAGCTCAGTTTGTCTTGCCCTAGCCAGGCCTCCCTCTGCCCTCATCATGCTTTGGGCAGCACGAGTGTACAGGCAGAGCTGGCCACTGGAGAAAAAAACTGGCTGGCCCCAGCAGCACAGCTGTGACCCCTCTCCTTGCTGATGGCTCCAGTGTCTTCCTTCCCTTTGCCTGTGGAACTGCAGCTGTGCTGTCCGGTCCCCGGCCACTTTCCAAGGGCCTGAATCAACTCTTACCACCAGCCATGGCCCTGGGATTGACCTCAGGCTATGAACTGTTCCTGCATTGCCTCAAGAGAGCAGGAACCTCTACACCTGCTCCTGCCAGCACTGACCAACTTCCTGGCACTGGATGGCAGGCCCCAGCTCCAAGCTGAGCCCAATGTGGGGGGCTGGGCCCAGCTGGACTCTCTGCCCAGATCCAATTGTAAAACAGCAATCGGGGGCAGTTTTATAAATTCTGAGGCAGACATGGTTTCTGCTGCTGTGTGTGTCCTAGCAGGTGAACTGGGGGAGAGAGGGTGTGAGAGAGGAGAGACTGAACCAGGTGCTTTCCCCCAAAGCTGCAGGCCACTAGTGGCTTGTGGCAGCAGCAGGCTCTGGCTGGTGTGAGCACTGGCTGGGGTGGCAGAAGGGAAGCTGGGCCCTCCACAGTAGCACTGCCCTGGTGTACCTGCCTCCTGCCCAGGGCTGTGTTGCCTTGCCAAGAGGACAGGGAAGAAAGTGGTGTACATCTCCTGGGCTGTGCTGCCTCAGAAAGGTGGATGCCCTGTTGCTTCCTGCTTCAGTGCTGGAGATGGAGTGGTGCCTGGGACAGTCTTCCTGGGTGGCACAGAGCACTGTGCTCAAGCCCCTTTCTGTGGACGTGAGGTGTCTAATGTGGAGCTCCCATGGCAACTGTAGTGAGGCTAATGCAGGGACAGCATTAGCCTAGGGAAGCACTCAGGGTGTTTCCTGGGCTGTTTTCCAGGGCAGCTGAGATGACTGCAGCCGCATGCCAGGAACGGGTGGCAGAGGGCCCAGGCTGTCTGCCCTGCCCTGAGGGCTGGCACACAGCCAGAGTCAAGTGCTGCTCATCCAGCAGCACAAGGTTGTGTGGGTGCCTGGGCTCCTTGACCTGCAGGGGATGGCCAATGCGGGCACAATGGAGCAGTCTGGAGTGGCACAAGAGTGGTGAAAACCCTGTGTCAGGAGAACAAAAGGCACCTCAATTGTGACAAGAGCTTGTTCTTCATGCACTGGCAGCTCACCCTGGTGAGCATCAGTGGCAGCCTGGGGCCTGGAGGGAGACAGGTGTGCTGACAGTACGTCTGGCTCAGGGGAACAGCCCCAGCCTCGGCCTCGCACCTGCAGATTACTTGTGAGGGCTGGGTGGACATCTACCCTCTGTTGTGCAGCAGCTCTTAACTCCTCAAATCAACTGCTTCAGCCACAGGCTCTCTCTCAAGCTGTGAAATGAAATAGTGGTTTTTTTGCTGTGGCATCCCCTCCCCCAGCACTGAAGCACCAAGCTTACTCTTCTTGCAGGATGCCAGGCACCAGGAAACACCCACAGACCACACAGACTTGCTGGGCTGGGTAATGTGGTGCTGAGCAGAGGCTCCCCAAGGTGCTCTCAATTCTGTCCATGAATGGCTGTCACTGCGGCTTGTCTGGGAAGAATCACAATCTCTACACCATCAAGTGAAGACAACAGGCCCTAGAAAGGCTCAGCACCCCATGTCAGTTGCCTCTAGGAGAGCAAACCTTTGGTGGGGAAAAGGCCTCTCTGGGAAGAAAAGAATGGGGTCACCAACACCCCAATCTCCTTCAAGGGTTCTCTTGGGTTCAGGGGTGCTGTGGCCCTGACTCCCTCTGCCAGGACCCTGCTGCAGGCCTGAGCATGGGAAATTCTTACTGTCTTGGTCCAGATGTCTTCAATGCATTTTCTTGGCTTATCAGCTCCTTCTCACAGCACCCAGCTCACCAGTGATGCTGGAGAGCAGCTGCCAGGCAGGCAGACTAGACACAGAACCTTCTGCTGGGGTGGCAGCAGCTGTGGGCCAGGAGCTGGGCAGATGTGTGCCATGCAGGGGGATCCCTGCTGTCTTCCTCACTGCCCCCTCCTGAGTGGCTGGTTTGCTTTAAAGACCCTGGCTTCCTTTTATTACTTCCCCTCTCAGATTGCAGCCGGCTGCAAGGCTATTTTTAGCAGCCCGCCTTCTAAAAATAGCCCTGAGCTGTTTGTAGTTGCGTCACAAGAGGTAACTCTCTCCACGAGTGGCTTGGCCTCTGCACCCCAGGAGGATACAAAAGGAGGCCAGGAGCAGAGGGGTCAGCAGGTTCAGCCACAGCCAGAAGCGAAGGAGGCAGCAGTTCAGGCCTGCCAGCTTCAGGCATCGCAGCGCCAGCAGCATGACCATCTTCTGCAGCCACTGCCACCAGCCCCTGCAGGCAGAGATGAGCTGCCTGCCCAGGAGGGGCAAGCAGGCGCCCAGGGCCTCAAGGCCATTCAGGTGAGCTCCCCCCCACCTCCCACTTTCAGGGCTGTGATGGTCTCTGAGAGCCCTGGGACAGCTGGTGTAGGGTCTGATGGCCCCTGCAAGAGGCTTACACCAGCCTGAGACGGTGGGGCTGTCAGCTGGCACATGGGGAGGAGGTGCAGGAGCTTGGCGGGGCAGAGGGATTTGGGGTAGTTGAAGAGGAAAGGCATATCTGGTGGACCGGGGTGCACGTTCTGGCACTGGATGCAATTTCCATCCTTGCGGGGTTTGCTGGCGAGGTTGTGTCGCGTGGGCTCCTCACAAAGCACAGGTCATTGTCCAACCTGGTCCCCACCAGGAGAGGCACCAGCCACACCAGCAGCATATCCCCTTGGGTAGCCTCTGCCTGCACCCACTGCACCGAAACAGCTACGCAAGGTTTGCTCTCCTAGAGGCAGCAGCTGGCATGGGTGCTGAACTTCTCTACTCCATATCCCCAAGCTCATAATTCTCCCCATAGCGACAGGCGGGGAATGCTGTCCCTTTCCCTCCCTGGATGCACCTCCCCAGATGGCTGGCTTTGCAGGTCAACCAAGAGTGCTTCCAAGGCTCGCCGGGACCAGATCAACGCGGAACTGCAGGCATTGCGTTCCCTGCTGCCCATCTCCGTGCGGGAGAAGGAGCGGCTCTCCTACCTCCATACCATGGCCCTGGTGTGCCTCCGGCTGCGGGGGGCTCAGCTGTTCCCTCCAGGTACCCATGGCACTGCTGTACCCCATGCTATCTTACATCTGTGTGGGACACTGCTCCTGCTCCATCAAGACAGCACTTCACCCTGATCCCCCTGCAGGCTCAGCTCCTCCTGCGCAACCGGCCCTCGGCACAGAGCTACTCTCCCTGCTCCCGGGGTTTCTGCTTGTGCTGTCGGCCAGTGGAAAGCTGGTCTACATCTCGGAGAACGTGGCTCAGATCCTGGGCCTCTCTGTGGTAAGGCTTGCTCACTAGGCATTTGCAGTCACTGTCCTGGTGCCTTTATTGTGTGCACAGCACACTGCCCCAGCAGATGCTAGGCTGTGGCTCCAGTGGTCTGTGTGCCCATGGTGCCAGCCAAGGCTCACCAAAACAGGCACAGTCCTTGAGGAAGCCCCCTCTTTTGTCAGGTGGAGCTGCTCGCCCAGGGGGACACGGTCTTTGACATCCTGGATGGGCAGGGATGTGAGGATGTGTACAAGAAGCTCCTCCTCGCCCAGGAGGAACCTGGCAGGGGTAAGGGAGGCCTCTGCTGGCATCTTGCAGATGTTGCCACCTTGCTCTGCCACAGGCCCTCAGTGGCTGTGATCAGAGATCCAGGGCCAGCTCTGCTGAGAGCAGAGCAGGGGAGCCCCTGACCCACTCGGAATGGTTTGTTTCTCTGCAGAAGTCACTTTTGTCAGTGAGATGTGCACGTCCAAGGCCTTCCGGCTGAAGCATGGAGGGAATCGGGTCGTGACAGTGTGTGGGCGCTTTGTGGCCTTGAGCTGGCCACCCTCACCCTCCACCACAGCCTTCCTGGCCCTCTGCTCGCCGGTCATGCAGTCGCCTGCAGATGGCGAAGCTGGTTCCCAGGATGACATATTCCAGAGCACGCACATCCTAGACATGACGTTTATTGATGTCACGGAGAGGTGAGGTGTGCCTGTTTGCACCAGAGCCCCAGCTGTACATCTCAGGCAGCAAGAATCATTTCCCTTCACCAAGCCTTATATTGGATGCAGGCTAGATACTGTGTGAGCACTGAGACTCACAGACGCTTCCTAGACCTCTTCCCTCCTTTACAACTTATTTCTGTACCTCTGTTGTTTTGCTCTCCCCTCCAGCGAGCAGCTGCTGCTCCTTGCTGACAGGGTGTGGACCCTGTATGGCACTCAGTCCCCACTTCCCTTGTCTCCCCCAGTGTCACCTACCACCTTGGCTACCGCAGGGAGGAGCTGGTCGGTCAGTCCTGGTACAGCCTCCTGCACCCTGAGGATGCTGATCTGGCAGCTGCCCAGCACAGGGCCGTGGGTGAGTGTCAGGCCCAGCAACGTGTGTACTGTCCTCTGGCTATATGCTCTAGCTGTGCCTGAAACATGTCTATGCAGGACAGCAGACACAAATCGAATTCAGTCCTGCCCACTGAGACTCCCTGCTCCAAAAGGATGAGGCAGGGAATTGGTCACACACTGTCTATAAGGTCACAGGTAGCTTCCAAGCTTTGGAAGCTTTGCCACAGTGCACAGAGGAGGGACAAACCCCCTTGAGCTCCAGCTCTTTCGGGGGGGCAGGACTCCTACGGCCTGACTCTGCTCTGTATGGCTTCTGTGGCGCTGGGGCCAGAGCAGTGACCGCCTGCAGACCTCATCGGGGCAGCCTAGGGGGTGTACAGGCGGCCTGCCGCCGGGTCCTGCCGCCGCCTAACGCAGTCGCTTCCCTTGCCCGCAGCGCTCGGGGCCGGCGCCGGGCCCGCCTCGGGGACCGCGGTGCTGCGGGTGCTGCGCCGGGACCGCGCCTGGGCCTGGCTGCGAGTGTGGGCGAGGCGGGACGGCGGGGGCCGCTGCATCTCCTGCACCTGCACCTGCCTCAGGTGAGAGGGCTCCGGGGGGGTGGGGGAGGCCGCTGCATCACCTGCCGCCCCTGACCCCTTGTCCCCGCAGGGAGGAGGAGGCGGCCCATCTGCGCTCCCGGCAGCCCCGCGCCGCCGCCCCGCCGGCGGGCCCGGAGCTCAGCCGTCTCGCCGCGCAGCTCCGCGCCCTCGCCGACCGCCTCTCGCCGACCGCCTCTGCCCCGCCCGCGCCAAGACCCCCGCCCCTTCCCGAGGAAGGCGATGCCGATGCCTCTGACTGTCTTGGGAGCTCTCTACTGAACCCTCCCCAGTTCCTCCCCTCTCCTTTTAACTGGGGAGCGGTGAGAAAATTGGATGCAACATTCCAAGTGTGCCCTCACAGGTGTCAAGTCTACAGAGACACTGACATCCCTTGGTGTGCTGACTGTATCTCTCCTAATGCAGGCCACTGTGTGTAACTCCATCTCCTTTCAGACAGTCACTGCTAAGAGCTTCAGCTGACGCAATTGAAGGCGATGGCAAACCCTTATTTTATACAGTTGGTGCTCGTGTTAGAAACCTTGGCCAGGCTGTGATACAATCCAGCATCAAGATGACTCAGTTCGGCAGTGCAGAGGGATCTTGATCTTGCACTTTACCATTTATTGGCGAATTAGCTGGATATCACCAGAATGCGTACATGACCCGTTCCTCACAAAGGAACGATTTCTGCTTTAAAATGACGCCAATAAAACCCGCTCCCCCACGTGACTCTCTGGCGTGCCCTGGTTCCGCTTCCGGGAGGGCGGGGCCGCGGGCGGGGGCGATGCGGCCGCGCCGGGACCGGGCGGGACGGGGACGAGTCGCCGCTGCCGCCGCCGCCGCCATGGAGGGCGAGGAAGAGGCGGCCGCGGAGCGGCCGCTCGGGAGGCTGGAGGCGGCAGAGGGCGATGGCGACAGCGACGACGACGGGAGCCTCTCGGGGGACGGGGAGGCGGAGGCGCCGGGGCCTGGCGGGAGAGGTGAGGGGGGTCCCGGCGGCAGCGCCTCCGGTACGGGCGGCGGCCTCAGCGCGTATCGGGGGGTCACGGCTGCCCGCTCAGTGGGAAACGAGTTGGCAAATGGCTTGGTCGCATTTCGTATTCCAAGTCCTGCATCTCTCCCTCACCTGCTCCGCTCAGAGGATGAGCTCGGGATCACAGCAGGGTGTGCGCTGGAGATGCGTGAGAGGTCCCTGGAACAAAAACCGTGTAGGGGCCTCTTCCCCGTAGTCGTCTTCCCCGTGTGTGGAATCACAGAACTATGGAGTGGTTTGGGTTGGAAGGGACCTTAAAGATCATCCAGTTCCAGCCCCCCTGCCGTGGGCAGGAACACCTTCTACTGTGGAAGATCTCCCACATCTCCAGGGCGATTGCTCTGTGCAAATTCAGACGCAGAGGAGCTCCAGAGGTCCTCGCCAGGACAGGTGGAGTGGGAGAACCGGGCGGTGCGTGGCTGTGGGCACGGCATGGGCTGAGGTTCAGGGTGTGCAGGTGGTGGTTCTCATCCACAGTGGTGAGCACAGTGTGGTTTCCTCATCTCAAAATGATCCAGGTGAGAACGAAAACCTTACGAAAAGTTCAGCAAAGGCCTTTAAACGAAACTGAGGTGTCAAACACATGGCGTGATGCAGGTGTGAGGAGTCGCTAATTGTCTTGTGAAAGGGGTCTCCGTGGTGTGTCTGAGTGGGGCCATGGGGGAGGCACATCTCCTCTAAAGGTGGACTTTTGGGACTGGCAAGGTGCCCCACTATCCGTTGTAGTCATTTTGGTTTCCTCTGGTGAGGAAATGGTGAGCTTTAGCAAAGCTCAGAGAGAGGACCACTGACAGGCACCCTTTCCTTTCCACAGCTGGATGTGAATGGGAACAGTAGTTTTACTTTTGCCATCTGTCGGAGGCCTCTGTGATCTTGTGTCTGGAGCAGAAGGAGTTATATTTGAGTCCAGCACTCATTTTGTCTCAGCAGGGAACAATTGGGCAGATATCAACCATTTCTTAGGCCATCTGTTCTTGCGTCCTGGACGCTCTGACGTGCTCAGCAGGTCGTATAGCCCTCTACAGGCTGAGAAAGGCATAAGGTGTCCATGTGTCACCGGAGTCTGTGGGAGGATAGGAAACACGAGGAGGCTGTGCTCCTGAGCAGGAAATGTCCCTGTTGTCAGTAGGTAACAGTAGCTTATCAAGAGGTGCAAAAAAGAGGAAATAATCCTCAAAATAATGGATGAAGGGAAAAAATGGTGGGAAGGAAAAAATGAAATGGACTACAGAGACAGAACAGAAAAGGTAAGTTATATTCTAGGGGGGAAAATGAATGAAAAAATGGGGAAATTAGGGCCTCAAGAAAGAATGCAAGAAACAAGGGAAATAAGCTAATCCTGTCTTTTTAACTGGGGCCTTTTCACACACACAGTTGCCAATTCCGCTGCCCAGCAGTGAACATCTGCTAGGACCATTCACTTCTACCCTGAAACATGTTTATTATGTCCAGTGATGTTTTGATGAGTGTGAGTGGCTAATTCAATCTCCTACAAATGGGGTGTATTTCATGGGCTGATACTACTGTGTGGAAATCATCCCCATTAGGTTTTGGATAGTCAAGTCTGGTCACCTGTACCAGTATTGAAATATTTTATCAGTGGAAGCTCTGCATGCCTTTGCTTTCTCTGGTTTATACCAAATCTCTTTTCTAATCCTTTGCATCTCTTTACGTGGTATCTTTGTCTTGTTTTTAGTGACATCTTGTAAGCCTTTGCTATTTAAACAGTATTGTTTTGGAATTGCAGCTAAGTGGAGTATTGTAGTGCAAGTGATGGTGTCTTGTCTGCCTTCAACCAGTGTTAAGAGTATCTTCCACATCATTATGGTCTTAAGCTCTGCCATGGGAGGTTTAGGTTAGATATTAGGAAGAAGTTCTTTACTGAGAGGGTTATCAGGCATTGGAATGGGTTGCTCAGGGAAGTGGTGGATTCTCCATCCCTGGAGGTTTTTAAGATGAGACTGGATGTGGCACTTAGTGCCATGGTCTAGTAACCATGTCGGTAGTGGATCAAAGGTTGGACTTGATGATCTCAGAGGTCCTTTCCAACCCGGCTGATTCTATGATTCTGTTCTATGATTCTTCCTTTCCTTTAATGCTTTCTTTGCCCTTTTCACTGGTCCTTGTTCAGAGTCTTTCAGTTGTGTGCCCAGTGATGCTTTGAGTGATACTTAAATATTGCCGTATGCAGAGGTTAATTGCTTTGTCCTCCAGTAACTCATATAATTAGCAGAGATTTTTCCTGAATTTGAACAATGTGGTGTCAGATTCTCTTGTCCACAAATTTGTTGGTTTTCTTGTGTCTCTGTGAACCCCAATAGTGAGATTAATGTAAATTGCTGAGCTGCATGGCACTCTGCTCATGCCTGAGTGCAGGCACAGCTCATTGATCTGAAGGGGATTTCACATTCTGGGCCGGCAGTAAGTGATTGTACATGAGTGACAAGGGAAAAGGTGGAGACCAGAAAGGGCAGTGGTGCTGTCATCACTAAGAAGGCAGGGGCAAGGGTGTTTGCAGGAGTCCAAGCAAGAGAGAATGTCAGATTGCAGTAAGATAAGGGGGAAGGGTGTTTTGGGGAAATAGTGTAATGAAATCATGCTGTATTCACATTTCTTTTGTCCCTTGTGTGGCAAACTGGATGTACAGTGTTCCCTTAGCCTATTTCAGAGGACTAAGGAGCATCGACAGAGCAGAGTTCATGAGTGTTCAGAACAAGCAAAGAGAAAATATTTCCTGAGGCAACACATGGCTGTGCCCATTACGTTTTCTGAATGATGAGAGTAGTTTCTGAAACAGGTCTTAGTTATTGCCAGGATGAGAGTGACTGGGATAATAAATAATAAGTCCATGCTCTGAGCCAATGTGACTGACCTCATGTTGCTTCCAAAATTTGGCAAAGCACACAGAAACCTCGCTCTTGGGGCAGCGTTTTGGGTTTGTGTGGCAAGGGTTTGGTAGTGAGTGGGCTACAAGGGTGGCTTCTGTGAGAGCATGCTAGAAGCTTCTCACATGTCCCATTAGCTCAGCTGTGGCCAGGGGCTTTTATAAGCAACAGTGGTAGCACCTCTGTGGTAACATCTAAGAAGGGGAAAAGCCCTGCTGCAGATCAGCAACTGGTAGAAAGGAGTGAGAATATGTGAGAGAAACAGCCCTGCAGACACCAAAGTCAGTGAAGAAGGAGAGGGAGGAGGTGCTTCAGGTGGCTGGGCAGAGATACCCCTGCAGCCTGTGGTGCAGCCCATGGTGAGGCAGCTGTGCCTCTGCAGCCCACGGAGGACCCCACACTGAAGTGAGTGGATGTGCCCCCATGAGAAGCTGGAGTGGGTTTGCTGGCAGGACTTTTGACCCCGTGGCGGACCCATGCTGGAGCAACCTGTTCCTGAAGGACTCCACCCTGTGGAAAGGGACCCACATTGGAGCAGTTCGTGAAGAACTGCATCCCAATCTGTTCGTTTTGCCCGTGTGACGGTAATTGATGAGTGATCTTTCCTGGCTTTATGTCAACCTGTGAACCTTTGTTGTATTTTCTCTTCCCTATCTAGCAGAGGAGAGGAGTGATAAAGCAGCTTGGTGGACACCTGGCATCCAGCCAAGGCCAATGTACCACAGACAGGATGTGATTGATCCTGCTGGGCCACAGTTGGGGTGTTCTGTGACAAATGCATTAGTATCACAGAGGCTTAGAAAGGCCATGTGCCTGTCACTGCTCAGAGGTGTTGAGCAGGCAAACACCACCCAAGTCAGTTTGCCAAGGCTTTACCTTTTAGAAGGGAGCCAGTACAAACCCCTTCTTGCCCCTACAAGAGAAGAGAATGAGCATATCCAAGTGCTGACTTAAAAAGTGTTTCAGTTGTTAGTTCTGAACACCCAGCAGTGTAAATCCAGAAAGAATCATTGATAAGATTTTTACATTCTGTTATAAGAAGTGTTAAAGGTTACTGACACTGAGGGATATTAAAGAAACATATCAACAGACAATTCCAGCAGAATATTGTGCATTCATTACCACCATGGGTAGAATTACTTTTGCTGTTTCCTGTGTTGTCAGCAGTCAGAGGAGAGAAGGAACATTTTACGAAACACAGGATGTAAATAATGTTCTGAGGAGCTCCCAGCAAGGTTAGGATATGAAACTGCTTTTTGGTGTTATGGGTTTTTTTCTTCCCCAGTGAATCAGGCTATAAACTGTTTCTGTTGACAGTGAGTGGTGAAGGTTGAGATTTCAGTAGTTCACAGGCCCCTGGTGTGTTGAGGAGGGTCTGCTGTGGGAGCTGCTTCACTGCTGACTGAGCAGAGCAATGGCAGATGTGCAGTGGGAAGTTTGTCTCCAAGTCTTAACATACTGAATAGCCCATGTGGTTTTCTTTCACTTCTTGGCTGGTTTCGTGCTGTGAGAGGTGTGATAATGCCCGTTTAAAGGCAATGGAACAACAGTCTGTTGAAGTGGGAGAGTCGGGACCGAGAGGTGACCAGAATTTGCAATGCAGCCAAAGTATAACCCAGTGCAGAGCTCATACTGCTCTTTGTACCAGGTAGAACCTTTGTACTGCTCTTTTCTGTGCTATTGAGTGGAGAGAGAAGCAAAGACACATTGGGGTGAGGGAGAGACTATTCCAGTGGTAAAGACTGAATGAGAGAGGAATCAAAGGCTGAGAGACGCAGAGGCTTCTTTCTGCCATGCAGTTGTACAGGGAT